GTGAGGCTGACACTTTTAAGCCTATAGCAGCAGAACTAAGGAATAGCTCATGAAACCTAAGTCTAGCTATATGATTTATCAAAAAGGAAAGTCTTCAGTCTAATTTTAAAAGTAGACAAAGTGTCAGCCTCATGAACAGAAACTGGAAGTTGGTCCAGCTTATTCCATCAATGCCAGGATGGTCCAGAGAGCATGATACATCGTTTTCACACATGGATTGGCTCCACAGAGTCCACTGAGAGTGAGAACTGAGACTGGCCAATGTTGCTCATAGAAACATGAAGCTGATCAGCTGACTTCCTRTAAGAAACCAGATTAAACCTGTAGTGTTGGACAGAACTGCAAATCCTGAATATTAAATGGTAAATTGATTGTACTTATATAGAGCCTTTCTATCCATCCAGGACACTCAAAGCACTTTACACTTACAGACATTCACCCATGCACTCACACATTCACACACTGGTGATGGCAAACTAAAACTGTAGCCACAGCTGCCCTGGGGCACACTGACAGAAGCGAGGCTGCCATACACAGGTGCCACCGGACCCTCTGACCACCATCAGTAGGCAAGGCTGGTAAGGTGTCTTGCCCAAGGACAGAATGACTGAGTCAATTGGACGGGGACTGAACCGGTGACCTACTGGTTCCAGGACGACCCCCCTTAACCACCCTCCCACAGCCGCCCCAAATTAAGACATGAACTTAACTCCTCTCCTCTCCTCTCCTCTCGCAGATGGGACATGACTCCTCCTACAGTGAATGCGTACTACGATCCCACTAAAAACAACATCGCCTTCCCTGCTGGGATCCTGCAAGCTCCTTTCTACAACCAGGACTACCCCAAGTCTGTTTACCTGCTCATTACCTGTCTGTGTGTCATGTTTARCYCATCACACAAACCTGTCGTGTTTTCTTGACATTCAGTCCTCAGTGTTTCTGCTCAGCTGGTTCCTGAAAAATTGTTTGAAATGTGTTTCTGTGTTTCAGAGCGTTGAACTTCGGGGGGATCGGGACGGTGATGGGTCACGAGCTGACCCACGGCTTTGATGATGAGGGTGAGTCTGACCCCTGCTCCTCCTGTCACATGACCAAAGAGCTCTGAGAATAAACGAACAGGATTTTCCAATGAAGCGACAAAAGTGAAGCTGAGAGCTYCCTCTAACGGTCATAGTGAAACATGACAGGTGTTTCTCCAAAGAATCAGCAAAGTTTTTATTTCAGTCTTAAAGAAAAAGCTTCATTCTGCTGCAGGAGATGAACAGTTAGGGTTAGGTTAGAGGTTAACCCTAACCTAACCATTNCCTCAAGCTCCCAGGCCTCTGGTAGAGGACCCGAGCTCAGAGGATGAAAGAGACCACCCGCGGAGGGTGAGAAGGGAATTATTGTTATTATATAATATACATATGCATATATACATTTTTAATGGGGAGGGTGCAGTGCAGGACTTGGACTCAAATGGCTCAAATGACTCAAATGAGTCAAATGAACCAGGTTATTTTAGTGATTGACTCAAATGAACCCGGTTCCATAAGGTGAACTGTTTTTACAGCTCTACCTTTCACTGACACCTCYTCCTGCAGGCGTACCGCTCCTGGATCCAGAAGAACGGAGACGAGAAGAGACTTCCTGCAGTCAACCTGACCAACGACCAGCTCTTCTTCGTGGGATTTGCACAGGTCAGTTTCTGCTAATGATGACTCAGCACATTGTGGTTTCAGGTCAACATGTGGGTCAGATGGATTCGTGACCCCTCTGTGTCTCTCTACAGGTGTGGTGCTCGGTCCGAACACCGGAGAGCGCTCACGAGGGCCTGCTGACAGACCCCCACAGCCCCCCCAGGTACAGAGTCATGGGCACTCTGGCCAACTCTCCGGACTTCAGCCGCCACTTCAACTGTCCGGAGGGCACGCCGATGAACAGCGGGAAGCGCTGCGAGGTGTGGTAGAGTGGCACGGAGAGGACTGGCTGGTGCTGCTGGGTAATTAGTGAATCTGTTAACGAACAGGTTAACGAGCTCGTTAGTGACGTGGATTCTGCAGGTGAGCCTTCAGACGTGTTTAATCTTCACTTCATCTGTTAATTAGCAACGATCAGACTCACTTCCTGTCTGGAAACCAAACGGCCTCGTTGGACTTCAGAGGCCTGATGATGATGATGATGAAGATGATGATGATGGTGATGATGATGATGATGAAGATGAAGACACATGGGACAGTGTTGTTGTTTTCTGCGTTCTCAACGTTATTAATTATAATTATTGGGCTTCGATGTGTGTGGGGGTGTGGGGGAGTGTTTTGTAATTCTGATGACATCACTGTGATGACCTCATACCAAGCTGACCTGTTGCTTTGCTCTGAGGAAGCTGTCATCTGATTGGCTGAAGGCTCAAAGATGGAGGTTAATGTGTTTAAACTATTAGCTTCACAATTCTGTCCATCAACACAGCTGCTAAATTCATCTGGTGCCTTTAGGGTCCTTCAGAATAAAAGACTCTGTTAACAAGTCATTTAAAGGTCAAAATGAAACATTTTGGCTTCGACAGCTCGGTTGGATTATTGTTGTCATGGATACATAAAAAGTTTAGTTTTACATTTAAACATAAAGTTTAGTTTAAATTTAGATTTTTTTCTGAATTTAGGTCCAGAATGTTTTGAGTTTCCAGATGATATTTCTACCATTACAAAATCAACAAATACTAGAAGTAAAATGAATGTGGTGCGTTCAGGGACAACAAGGATGAGGCATTCAGGGTCAAATAACACTGCAGTGTTTTAAAGTCCAACAGGTGTGGGGAAACAAAAACCAGTGCCAAAACTAACAGAAATCTGGGAGAGGTGGGTACAAATGATTGTGGTGCCTTCAGGATCTATTTTAAGAATAGGGATTTTATATACTGATGTGTTTAAAGCCTCAAAATATTCTGAAAAGTTTGAAAACTAAAATGCAGAAAACATCTTTCAAGAAAAAAAAAGGAACTTAGGAGCTGAGTCAAGTATGAGGTGTTTGTGGATCATTAGGAAATTACAACGTTTTAGTGCATGAGGCATTCAGGGACTCTGACTATAGTGGGACATTCAAACTGAGGGATGTTCAGGAACCAGAACAAGTTCTGTTTATATTAAATGGACTGAACTTACTTTATCAAGTCCCTCCAGACCCCAAAGCTCTTTAAACTTAGAGACATTCACCCATTCACACACTGATGGTGGTAAGCTACACTGTAGCCACAGCTGCTCTGGGGCACACTGACAGAGAGGGGCTGCCATGCACCGGCWCCACYGGACCCTCTGACCACCATCAGTAGGCAAGGTGGGTGAAGTGTCTTGCCCAAGGACACAACAACTGAACGGCTGGACGGGGGATYGAACCGGAGACCTTCCAGTTCCAGGACGACTCCCCTAACCACTGCACCACAGCCCCCCATTATAACACATGAACTGCTCATGGGGAGTTYAAGGACCTAAACAAAAGTCAGGAAAAACTCAACAGAACATCTAGTTATTATGACTTCACTGTATGCAGTGTGAAACCAGTGTGTGTCCTGATGACATCATCACTGAGTGACACTGTATCTGATGACATCATCACTGTGTGACACTGTATCTGATGAC